AGCTTATAATCAGGAAAAAGCAAATGCCATCTAAGAAACAGATATGTCAACTTTGGAAAAATGTTTCATCCAAGTTTTCCCTGGAAACCCAGTGTTTACTAAGTTCTTCTATTGCCATAAGTTAAATAGACTTGCAGCTATCACCCCATACGTCCCAATTTGAAGTTAGGAACATCAAACTTATTTTGGCCAACAAATGGCGTTCGATAGGTGAGTGTGAGATCAAAGAACAAGAGAGTCTTTTCTACCTGAGATATCTGTTTGTCTCCTGGGAAATCCAGCCAAAAGTTTGAAGTTGTGGCACTGGGGGAGAAGTGTATTCCAGGGCCTTCCGGGAGCATTGATTGTCCATATAGTGTAGTCATTTCACAGAGACAGCCTGGAATTGGTTACGGTGGAGGTATTTACACCATGGAAATTGGCAAACGCTACAAGTCAACCCTTGTCCTTGCCCCCCACCACCCTCATCACCACCAGCTGGAGTCTGTGGTGAAACATTTACAAGGTGCCACTTTTAGGTGGGTGAACATTTTCCTTCCCTTCAGCCCCTGGCTGCTTATTTCTCAGGGAACCAGATGCTCATTTCCTTGATCCGTCTGTAAGTGCCATTTTGCTTTCTGTTTTTGGATCTGCCTTTCATGTTCTGTGGTTCTTTGCCACTCAGACACACCAAATGCACCCTCCTGTCCCGAGTCCAGAGAGGAGAGGCTGGGTTCTGGGGCACCTAGGGGGCTCAGTTGGTTAAGCGTCCGACTTTGGCTCAGGTCATGATCTCACGGCTGGTGGGTTCGAGCCCTGTATTGGGCTCTGTGCTGACAGCTCGGAGCCTGGAGCCTGCTTCGGATTCTGTGTTTCTCTCTCTCTCTGGCCCTCCCCCCACCCCCCAAAAAGTAAATAAACATTAAAAAAAATAGTAGACTCATTGGGGTGCCTGGGTGTCTCAGTCGGTAAAGGGACCAACTCTCGATTTCAGCTCAGGTCATGATCTCATGGTTTGTGAGTTTGAGCCCTACGTCGGGCTCCACACTGACAATGAATGCAGAGTCAGCTTGGGACTCTCTCTCTCTCTCTCCCTCTCTCTCTCCTCATCCCCTGCTTGTGCTCTCTCTCTCTCTCAAAATAAATAAACTTAAAAAAAAAAAAAACATAGTATACTCAGGGGTGCCAGGGTGGCTCAGTCGGTTAAGCATCCAACTTCAGCTCAGGTCATGATGTCACAGCTCGAGTGAGTTCGAGCACGCGTTGGGCTCTGTGCTGACAGCTCAGAGCCTGGAGCCTGCTTCAGAGTCTGAGTCTCTGTCTCTCTGCCCCTCCCGCTCAAGCTCTATCTCTCTCTGTCTCTCAGAAAATAAATAAACGTTAAAAATTAAAAAAATGAGTCTGCAGAGTAGACTCATTTGACAACTCTCCACTCTTCCATTTTCCCATTTCATCCTGCCAGCCTCTTAAAACTTTGCCAGTTTTCAGGAACTTTCTTGCTCTGTGTTTCAGGTCTTTTCTTCTGGGCAGAAGGCAGAGGGGAAGTGGGAGGAGAGGGTGCCTGGGGAAGGTCTATCAGGCTTTCTTTTCCAGAGAACAAGCCAAGCTGCCTTTGTTGTCCGTTCCCTGAGGTGCCAGCCTGCGGGTCCCAGGCCCATCCAAGGGGGCGCGGGTGGGGTTCTCTCATCCACCTGTTTATTCCTCTTGAAGTGAGGGGTGCAAAGTTTACTGAGGGGCCAGGCTGCTACCCCAGCTGTTCCCGACTGGCCTGCCCTCTCTGAAACCCCCAGGAGAATATCTCCAGGTTGAGCAGAGAAGCAGATTGTTGCTAAGAAACCTTTCAGCATTGAGTCTAGGGAGACAGAGGAGTAGCGAGGCAGAAATAATAGGTAACCTGATGGCCTCAGAGACCCAGGCTGCAGGAGGGCTGGCTATGGAGCCAGGCATCCGGTCTCTCCCTCCAACACGGAACAAGATGGCTTTGCCTCGGACCTGGGTTCAAATCAGTCCCCACCCGGACCGCCATTCACTTGTTAGGTCACCTGGCCTCGCTGAGCCTTCCGTAAATCCTGAACGAGAATGCCTACCTCTCAGGGTTGTGCTAAGGAGTCCACGAATTCATGTAGGTAAAGTGCTTAGCCACGAGTAAATTTTTTTTTTTCAGTTCACAGGAGGTGAAAGGGAAACGAAACAAAACCAGCCGTGTGTAGCAGCCTGAGCAGAGAGGGGTTTGAGCCTCATGTTTCATATGCGACTGTGGGGTTCAGGATTAGCATGTGACTGTGGATTGGGGTCGATGCCTTAAAGACACTTCATTGAGTCCCTTCCTACAAGTCGACTCACTCAATCTTTCCAACAACCCACGAGGTACAGACCGTAAAACTCAGGCTTTGAAAGGTCTCTACCTTGTCAGGGACCCACAGTGAACCCCCACCGCACCGGTCACTGTTCTAGACAGGGCGCTTTCTCCTGCCCAGAGCCACCTGAAATGCTACAGGACACCAGAGCAGGGCTTTTCCTAACAGATCCGGTAGCCGGGTGGTCCACAGCCTGTCCCCAGACCAGGGAGGGTGGGGGTTCCCCGGGCGACATAGCTGTCCTTGAGCCCCGTTCAGGGGCTTGCCCATGTCTGCTGGCCCGGTAACACCCAAAGCATCCGGACCATGGCAGTTTATGCATAAGTGACAAAATGGAATTTTGCTTGGCAGGACTTGGTGTGGGACAGACATGGGTTCTAGTCGTGGCTTTGCCACCAACCAGCTTTGTGACTTGGAGCTGACCCTCCTGGGATCTTTAGGTATCTCATCTATGAAGTGGGATTGCATGATTTCTTAGGTACAAGGGTTGCAGGGAGGGCCCGACGAGATTAAATTTCTAAAGTGGCTTTGGAAAAAGTCCCCAGCCACGCAAACTAGTCTGCAGTGTCAACCATCCTGAAGGAAGTTGATCCTTCTGGGGGTGGAGAACTAAGTGGTCATAAGGACCTCACGTTTGACTCAGCAAATATATCAGGAGGGCTGGCTCTGTGCAATTCCCCACTGAAGGTATCAGCAGGGTCACAGAAAATTCCAGATCCTCAGCTGGAAACTTGCCAGCTATTGATTTTACTTCTATCTTGTTAGCTTCAGGTGGGGAATGTGAGGTCAGGAGTTTGTCAGAAAAGCCTGCGGAGCCGCTACGAGATTAAAACCAATGAACCTCTCCTATGTTTATTTAACAAATACATAGTGGGTGGTTAGGAGGTGCCCGGCACTGAGGAAACAGGAAGCATCATTGAGGATGGAATTTACCTTCCATCACAAGGTAGAAGAGGAACCACAAAACTGAAGGGAAAGGAAGAAAACTGTCAGGAGCTGGCTGAAGAGTTAAATCATTGCGCAAAAGAGGGGAAAGGGAAGAGCTGTACAACTTTATGGCTCAGTTCATCAGGCGAAGCACATGTTTTATTAGTTTCAAAGGATTTCATCATGGAAGAAATATTTCAGTAAGGGGCCTTTGAGCAACAGGACAAATGATTTTTCTCAACAGGAGTTTTTGGGTTTTGCCCAGTATTTTATGATGAACATTTTCAGAGTAGTTGCAAGAAGGTAGACACCCATATACCCCTCTCTAGAGTCTACAATTAATATTTTACTGTACTAATTGCTTTTTTATTTTTTTAATTTTTAAAAAATTTTTAAATTTCTGAGCGAGAGACAGCGTGAGCAGGGTAGGGTCGGAGAGAGAGGGAGATGCAGAATCTGAAACAGGCTCCAGGCTCTGAGCTGGCTGTCAGCACAGAGCCTGTCACCAGCTCGAACTCACGGACTGCGAGATCACAGCCCGAGCCAAAGTCGGACGCTCAACCGACTGAACCACCCAGGCGCCCCAATAATTGCATTTTTAAAATATTGTGTTTACTTAGAGAGTGCGGGGGTGGGGGGAGAGGGAGAGAGAGCAAGAGCGAGCTGGGGAGGGGCAGAGAAAGAGGAAGAAAGAAATCCCATATAGGCTCAGCGCTCAGTGCAGAGCCGGAGGCGGGGCTCGAACTCATGAACGGTGAGATCATGACCTGAGCCCCAACCAAGAGTCCACGCTTAATCCACTGAGCCACCCAGACGCCGCACAATTTTTAAAATGTATTTTATTTTATTTTATTTTTTGAGAGATAGACCGAGTGTGAGCAGGGGAGGAGCAGGGAGAGAGGGAGACACAGGATCCGAATCAGGCTCCAGGCTCCGAGCCGTCAGCACAGAGCCCGATGCAGGACTCGAACCCATGGACCGTGAGACCATGACCTGAGCCGAAGTCGGATGCCTAACCGACTGAGCCACCCAGGCGCCCCTGCCCCACAATTTTTTAAAAGAGGGGTCCCTCCTCGGGCAGCTCTTCCTGAGGATATAGAAACCTTAGTTTTCCTAGCATGGGAAGGGGCGAGGAAGTGGCAGGGAAGAGGGATTTCAGCTTTCTGGGAACCAGACTGGATGCGGTTGAGCGTGGTGGGGGGCGGGGGGACAGAAAGGTCCCCAGAACAAGTTCTGCCGAGCCCCGCTCGCGCTGTGTGGGCTCAGCTAGTTAGCAGAACAGGAGTCTCGTGGCCGCTTCTGGCTGGAGGACTATGGGATCATTTTTCTCCTGCTCTAGACTTGCGTTCGTTCTGCAAAGGGCAGAAGGCAGCCATGGCGGCCCTGGCGTCCGCCCCGAGCCCGGGAGAGCACAGGAGAACCCTGGAAGAGCAAAGCCGGGACGCCGAGGGGACCGTGAACCCTGCAGCTGGGCGGCCCGCCCCTCCGGCTCGCCGCAGCCGGGGCGCCTGGGAGGGGAGCGGCCGGCGGGCCGGGGCCGGGGTGCCGTCCTGCGGCAGCTGCGGGGCGCGGCGCGGCCCGGCGGTGCCCGCGACTCCAGGCGGCCGTCCCGGGCGCAGTGGGCTCGGGGAGGGACCGGCCTCCGCGCTCCACCCCCGACCGGGCCGGACTCGGCTCGGCGCGCCCGGACGCGCGCCCTTTGCATAAAGCCCTCCTCCCCGGGCCAAGGTAGAGGAAGTTGGGCTCCCGCCTGGATGGGAGGCGGGAGGGAGTCCGGCTCCTGTTGTTTTCCGCGAGCGGGAGTGGGTGGCGGGCGCAGAGGCGGGGTGCGCCCTCCCACCCCGGGCCGGGCGCGCCGGGGCCAGAATCGCGCCGGGAGCCGAGCGCAGCTCCCGGCCCCGGACTCAGGGCTCAGCCCAAGCATCCTTCCTGGGGGCTGCGGAAAGCGGAGCTACTCGGTCGTTCCGAGGACTTGGGAGGAGCGCTGAGTACCCCGTGGGCCGGGGCCCTGGGGGGCGCACATCCACCCAGCCGGCGCCTGCGCTTCCTGAGGGGCCCCTGGCCGGCATCTGGGGCGAGATGGCCGCGGGCGTCCGGGCGTCCCAGCCGCAGGTCCTCGTCTGCCTCGGGGTGCTGCTGGCCCGCTGGGTCGCCGCAGGTAAGGGGCCGCGATCCCGAGGGCAGAGTGGAGTTTCGCCGAGCCACGGGAAGGGAGGGGAGAGGAGGGGCAGGGACCTAATTTCCTCCGACTCGGCGGGAGCCGGTTGTGGCCGCGGCCCCGCAGCCGCCCCGGGAGGGTCTTGAGTTTCCTGCTCGCTGCTCGGCTCTCTTTGCAGGAAGGAATTTTCCCGGGCGCCTGATGGAGGGCAAGATATCATCAGTCTCTCGGGATGGGTAGCCGGCGAGGCTGCGGAGGGCCTGCGGAGAGGTGATGGGAAAACTGGGGAATTTGAAGAGGGAAATTTTGAAGTAGGGAAAATTGAAGAGGCACGTGTAGGGGGCAAAGTGGTGTTTTGTTCTGTTTTTTTTTTTTTTTTTTCCTAAGGCGTCGGATGTAAATCTGCGCTCTAGTTTTACCTGCCGCGCCGGGGCTCAAACTCTAGGCTCCTTTATTTTTCTCTCCTTCCTCTGCCCAAGGTTGAACTCGCCTTACGCTCGTAACCTGTGGATTTCCCTACACACCCCTGCAAGCCGACCTGTGCAGACTAGCACATTCAGAACCGTGCCTTCTTCCTTCACCTAAAACAAACAACACTTTTTATTTTGATGTAATTTCAGACTTAAAAAAACTTGCCCTTAAACTTGACGTGACCTCTTCCACTTGACGTGATTGACAAAAGTCTTGAATACTCCATCTGTGCTCTCCCTTGTAACGATAAGATCAGAGCGTTGCTTGCAAAAATATATGGGGTGTAAAAATATTGAAAAAGCATTTTTTAATTTAATGCACCAGTGAATGCATGTCTTTTGTGTGCAGGGCAGGGTGATGAGCAGTGAGAGTGAGGACTCAGGTAGAGGGAAAGGAGATGGGGCCAGGAAGTGATGTAATCTGCCAGAATACTTGGGGTGTTTTTTTCTGTGTTGCCCAGTGCAGCCCACACTGCTGATCTCCTCTTGTAATCTCTTAGACGAATTGCACTTTGAGCTTCCTAGCAGCAAGTGCCAAAAGCTCTTAACCGTTAGGCTCACATAAGATTTTATTTTGTTTTGGGGTGCTTGGGTGATTCAGTCTGTTGAGCATCTGACTACAGCTCAGGGCATGATCTCGCGGTTTGTGGGTTTGAGCCCCGAGTTGGGCTCCGTGCTGACAGCTCAGAGCCTGGAGCCTGCTTCGGATTCTGTGTGTGCGTGTCTCTCTCTCTCTGCCCCTCCCCCACTCACCCTCTTGCAGTGTCTCTCTCAACAAGTAAACATTAAAAAAAAGATTTTATTTTGTTTTGAGCAATCATTTAAAAGCAGTAAAATTGCCCACGATCTAGATTTCTAGTTTATCTGGAAAAATCAGATGATCTGGCAGCCCAGGGCTTGCTTTTTCCCCTTGGAACTGAGCAGTGGTCACCCCTTCTCTGTAGGGCATGTGACCCCCAATTTGACCCACCTCTTCTGTTGTAGTACTTATCCCTGACCCCCTTCGGTTATGGACCTTATGTGCTGACCCCTGCAGGCATTGGACTTAGTGGTCACTCTGCTAACGGGGAAGAGGAGAAGACAGACAGTTTCCCATTGGTTGTGCCCAGAAGTTAAAGGTGATTGTTCCCTTCTCTCTGGCTGTCTGCGGTGTTTACTGCTCCGTGACTATCAGGGACCTGGGACATCAGAAGCCTGCGTTGAAATCATCATACTGGAATGAGCCAGCTTTTAGGTTGGCTGCAGCTCACCACACAGGGACACTTCCTGCACCACCATGTCCCGTCATTTTGATACCCAGGCCAAGTTCACCTTCATGTGTAGTGCCCGGAGGGCTTCCGTAGCTAGGTAATGTTTTTGTTGTGTAGTTTTCAAACTGGGAGTTATCTTAGGGGAAAGAAAATTGTATTTCTCCTGTCACTTGACTCCAGACTCTGTTCATGCCTGCACTGTCGCCTGAGATTGTAACTCCTGGGTCATTCTCGGGGAGAAGGTGGTAAGGAAAAAAACTCAGTGGGTACAATCCCAATTCTGCAAATGATAATATGAGGGCAGCGTTGGGAAGCGGTTGCTTGTGTTGCTTCCTCCTTAGGTCCATATTCTGAATTTAAGGTTGGCGGAATTGGGGGGGGGGCATTTGAGGACTCTCTGGATACCGTGGGGACAACTTCGAGTGACACTAATGGTTGTCATGTCTTACTGCCTCATCTTGTCCGGTTGGGAGAGCAGAGTATGTCCCTGTGACCGGAAATATGAAGGCCTCAATGGCGGTCCCAGCTCTCCCGGTGACTTGTGTGGGGCCTTAGGTAAATCACGTAAGCTTTTGTGGACCTCAGTTTTCTCATCTGTTAAGTGAAGGGGGTGCGGGGTGACCAAGGGGTGACTGAGTGCCTCACGGACCGCCCTGCCATGTCCTCATCAGACAGACCTCACTGATGACTGTTTGCTTTTCCACTGAGGCAGGACTCAGCCTGCCTCACCTTGAACCCAGCGCTCGGGACTGCCGTGTCTCAGGACTAAATGCCCTCCAAGGTCACCTTCAGCTTCATGGTTAAAAAGAACGGAGTGAGCAAAGCCAGGAGAAGGGGAATGCCTTCAAACGGTCTCTTTTGTGATCGTGTCATTCTATTCCTTGGAGGAGAAGACAATGTTAGCTCAGGTTCTGAGATTCAAGTTTTGCCAGGGCTTTTCCAAGTTCTTTCTTTCTTCCTTTGCCAGGGAGCCAGGAAAGGGCCAGGTCTGCAGGTCTCCTGAACACCTGCTGTGTGTATAATGCGACAGCCCGTCTTCTCTCTCCTCCACGGGGATTGCCACTGAGGACTTGGGTCCTCAGGCCTAATCGTTTAAAAATAACTCTCACGTGCCTTGCAAAGTGATCGTTCAGAAAGATTTCTTGCTGTTTTGGAATCCCTGGCATTAGACGACATTCTCTGCCTTCCAGCGAGTGACTTTGAGAGTTTTGTTTTGTTTTATTTTGTTTGTTTTTTTCCTGGCATGTGGTGGGAGTGGTGTGGCTAAGAGTGGGGAGAGTTGGAACTTCCTGAGGCTCCAGGCTGGCTTCCCGCCTTTCAAAGGGAGCCCCTTCCAACCATACAAAGGGCCAGAGACAAATCACTGTTACTCTTTCTTTTATAATCAGGAAGGCTTTTCAAGGGACAGGTGGCAGTTTATTTATTTGTTGTTGTTTTGTTTTTTTTTTTACTGATTTATTGAGATAGAATTTACACACCATAAAATGCACCCTTTAAAAATACATAAGTCAGTGATCTGGGGTATATTCACAAGATCGTGCAAAGCATCACCACTAATTAAGTCCAGAATGTTTTCATCACCCCGAGAGGAAGCGTCAGGCTTGAGTATTAGCGGTTGCTTCCCACTACCTCCTTCCCCCGCCCCTCATAAGCCACTTTCCCCAGCCCTAGACACCTGATACCCTACTTTTTGTCTCTGCAGACTTGCTTATTTCAGACATTTCATATACATAGGCTCACACAATATGCAGCCTTTTATGATTGCCTTCATTCACTTATTGTAATGTCTTCAGGACCCATCCATTCTATAGCGCTTGCTTCGTTCCTTTTTATGGCCAAATAATATTCCCACCGTATGGCTATACCACACCGTATTCATCTGCTCACCAGCTGATGGGCATTTGGGTGGTTTCCATCTTTTGGCCATTATGAAGACGCCGCTGAGAATGTGCGCGTGAAGTCTTTGTGTAGACACGTCCACCCAGGAGTCACATTGCTGAGTCATCTCGTCCCTTTAACCTTGTGAGGAAATGCCAGCCTCTTTTCCAAAGTTGCTGCACCATTTAAGAACCCTCCCAACAACGCAGAAGGGCTCCAGTCTCCGCATCTTTGCCAGTGCTTGTTAATTTGCTATTCTCTTTGATTTTGGCCATTTTAGCGGGTCTGAAGCAATAGGTACCTTACTGTGGTTTTGATTTGCGTTTCTCTAGTGACAGATGGTGAGCATCTTCTCATGTGCTTTGGCCTTTTGTAGATCGTTCTGGAGACATGTCTATTCAGATCCTTTCCCCATTTTTAAACTGTATTATTTATCTTTTTATTGTTGAATTCTGAGAGTTCTTTATATGTTCCGGATACAAACCCCTCATCAGATAGCTGATTTGCACGTATTTTCTCCCCGTCTGTACATTGTCTTTTCACTTTCTTGACGGTGTCATTGGATGCACAGAGGTGTTTAATTCTGACAAAGTCCAGTTTATCCATTTTTCTTTCAACGCTTGTGCTTTTGGTGTCCAGAGAAACCATTGCTTAACCCCAAGTGACAAAGATTTATTCTTTTATTTTCTTTCCTAAGCGTGATATAGTTTTAGCTCTTTTAAAAAAAATTTTTTTTAATGTTTTATTTATTTCAGAGAGAGAGAGAGAGAGAGAGAGAGCGTGAGCAGGGGAGGGTCAGAGAGAGAGGGAGACACAAAATCCGAATCAGGCTCCAGGCTCTGAGCTAGCTGTGAGCACAGAGCCCGACGTGGGGCTCGAACCCATGAACCGTGAGATCGTGACCTGAGTCGAAGTCGGACGCTTAACCGACAGAGCCACCCAGGCGCTCCATAGTTTTAGCTCTTACGCTTAGATCTGTGGTCTATTTGAGTTAATTTTTCATATATGGTGTGAGGTAAGGGGTCCACCTTCATTCAGTTGTCCCGGTACTGTGGTCAAAGGCACTTTATTTTGTGATGAAATACCACCTTTCGCAAATCCCGCAGGCTCACATACTTTGGGAGCCTCTAAGGTGGCAGAAAGAGAATGTGCTAGAGGATGGCAAGAAGTCTAGCTTCTGGTCCCACGCGGCTGTCTTCTCGCTGCAGGACTTGGGAGTTAGCCCTCTGTCCTTGGCATCATAACTTTTCTCCCCTACTGAATGTGACAGCGTGAGTCAGACTCCGTACGGGGGCTGCCGATTATGCCTGTGCCCGTGGCCTCTTTGGATTGGGGTGTTGACCGTGGAGGGGGCTGGAAAGTTTCCACACTTCTCAGCAAAATGGGCTGCGTTTGCCTCGTGTTACCTGGTGACCAGATCAGTGGCCCTTAGCAACTGTCAGTGGTGAGTAAGCATCAGAATCACCTGGAGGGCTTGTTAAACTTCAGCCTTCTACCTTCCACCTCCACCCCTAGATGGGTGATTTATCTGATTTAAATGTGCTGGGGTGGGACCTGATCATTTGCATTTCTGATAGAGCCACCGCCCTGAGGCCACGGCCACCGCCGCTGCTGCTGCTGCTGCTGCTGCTGCTGCTGCTGCTGCTGCTGCTGCTGCTGATCTGGGCTTCTGAAGTGCTCTTGCCTCTACCTGGCTAATTCCTACCTGTCCGTCAGATCTCAGTGTGGCCTCCTGAAGGAAGCCTTCCCTGGCGGTCACCCCAGCTGGACTTGGGAGCCTCTTCTCCGAGGTCCTGTCATAGTATCACACTGTATTGTAAATGCCAGTTTATTGTCTCTTTTCCCAACTGGCCTGTGAGATCCGGGAGGTCTCCCTCTCTTTTGCCCGTCCTTGGCTCCCCAGTGCCTAGCACAGGGCAGGCCCAAAGCTGGAGCTGTAGGAGAGCTTTGACTCCAGGATCATTTGCTCCTGAAGTGCAGAGAAGGACCATGGGAATAAAGCCTAGGCCCTCTTCCTTTCATCCCTTCTGGATTTCTAGGCAAATAAACCCACTTGGGTTCTGTGTCAGTTATTTATTGCCACAGTGATGCCGCATCGTAGTCACAAAATGACAGTAAGTGCTTATTGCTCAAGGGCTGGGGTTAGTCAGCTCTGCTGATCTTGCCTGGGCTCACTCACATGTTGGGGCATCGACTCAGTGGCTCAAGGCTGATCTGGAATGGCCTCAGCTCGGGTGATTGGGACCTTTGGGGTCTGCACACGTAGCTTTCATCTTCCTCCTGGGACCTAAACCTGGGTATGTCCTTCTCCAGGCGATGGCAGGCGGGAGAGTGAGCAAGCCCTGTTACAGCAGGCTTTTTAAGCCTCTGCTCCCATCACAATTTGTTAACATCTTATTGGCCGGACCAAGCCACGTGGTCCAGCGCAGAGAGTCTGGGTGGGAGGGCAGTGTGGTCATGCAGTGAAGGGCATGGATAGTGGTGGGAGGGGCCCATTGGGGCTGCCTGTGCAATTGCCGTTTACCACAGGTTCATTAACATCGGCACTGGCCAGTCATCCCCACAGAGTGGAGGCTCTGCCTCTTGAAAACACACACCTGATTTTGTTTCTTTTTTTTTTAATCCTAATGCAGAGGGATTGTGCACAAGGGAGGGTGTTCGGAGATGAAGAAATGTAGTAATGGCCTGACCTTTCCTTGTGCAGGATTAGAGGCTCTGGTCATCGGAGAGGTTCACGAGAACTTTACTCTGCACTGTGGCAACATCTCGGGACCAAGGGGCCTGGTGACCTGGTACCGGAATGACTCGGAGCCTGTCTTCCTCCTGTCCTCCAATTCCAGCTTCCGGCCGGCGGAGCCCCGCTTCTCTCTGGCCAATGCCAGCTCGCTGCGCATCACGGCGCTGACGCTGCAGGATGAAGGAAATTACACCTGCCGGGAGATCCTGAATGAGACGTGGTGGTTCCAAGTGTGGCTGCAGGTGGCCCGTAAGTGCGGTGGCGGGACACTGGGGCCGGCTGGCCAGGCGCTCGGAGCCTTGGATGGGATGGAGGAGGGCTTTGGGGTCGATGCCTGGGTTTCATCCTGGGCTCTGCTTCCTGCTCGCTGAGTGACCTCTCACGCCCGGATTTCTTTATCTGTAAAATGGGGGCAGAAAGAATTCTTGCGTCCTAGAATTCCTGTGAAAACTAGATCCTGGTTTATCTAGATAAAGTGCTATTAATGGCCCCTGGCAGATTAGTTAGCGATTACTTTCAGCCTGTTAGTATCATCCTTGCTGTTTAATATCATTTTATTATGGACCAGAGTCAGAGTATAACACGATGGAGTCAGACTTGCCTGAATTCCAATCCTAAGGTTATGTCACCTTGAGTAAGTAGCTTAATATCTCTGATCATTAGTTTTCCTTGTTTGTTAATTGGGGATAATGCATTAGGTACCTGGTAAGGCTTGGTGCATTTAGGATATAGTGCTGACGACGGGGCTTGATATGAGCTCCTATTATATTACATACTACACTTTCTGAACACGATATCTTATCTGATGATATACACGCATGAACTTAGAATAGGGGTTGGTAAACTATAGCCATATCTGTGGGCCGTATCTGGTCTGCAGGCTATGAAGATTTGTTACATCTTTAAATGGTTGGGGGAAAAAAACAAAAGACGAATGATGTTTGTGACATGTAAAAATTATATGAAATTCCAGTGGCCACAAATAAAGTTTTATTGAAACACAGCCACACTCATCTGTTTACATCTTATCTCTGCCTTTGGTGCTGCTGAGGCAGAGTTGAGCGGCAGCGATGCAGATCGTCCGGCCTGCAGAGCCTAAGATACATACTCGATAGCCCTTTACAAAGACAGTGTGCTGTTTACTGGTTTCGATGGGTATCCATGTTCTACATCCAGGGTGCGTAGTGTAGGAGAAATATACGTGTGAGCACTTTACTACTCCCTGGTTTCCTCGTCTGTAAAATTATTTACTTATTTCTTTATTCAACATTGATTGATTGAAAGCCTAATGCCAGTCACTGTTCAAGGTGCTGGCCACAGGAGTGAACAGGACAGACAAGGCCCCTGCCCTCATGAGGTGACACCCTGGTGGGGAAGAAAGACAGACAATAAGCTTAAGTACGTAAATGATTCAGGCAATATCACAGTGATGAGGGCTTTGCAGAGAATTGAGGCTGGGTGATTCTCTGAAACACTTTATTTCTATTTATTATTTAATGTTTATTAATTTTTTTTTATTTTTTTTGTTATATTTATTTCTAGAAGAGAGGGAGAGACAGCGTGAGCAGGGGAGGGTCAGAGAGAGAGGGAGACACAAAATCCGAAACAGGCTCCAGGCTCTGAGCTAGCTGTGAGCACAGAGCCCGACGTGGGGCTCGAACCCATGAACCGTGAGATCGTGACCTGAGTCGAAGTCGGACGCTTAACCGACAGAGCCACCCAGGCGCTCCATAGTTTTAGCTCTTACGCTTAGATCTGTGGTCTATTTGAGTTAATTTTTCATATATGGTGTGAGGTAAGGGGTCCACCTTCATTCAGTTGTCCCGGTACTGTGGTCAAAGGCACTTTATTTTGTGATGAAATACCACCTTTCGCAAATCCCGCAGGCTCACATACTTTGGGAGCCTCTAAGGTGGCAGAAAGAGAATGTGCTAGAGGATGGCAAGAAGTCTAGCTTCTGGTCCCACGCGGCTGTCTTCTCGCTGCAGGACTTGGGAGTTAGCCCTCTGTCCTTGGCATCATAACTTTTCTCCCCTACTGAATGTGACAGCGTGAGTCAGACTCCGTACGGGGGCTGCCGATTATGCCTGTGCCCGTGGCCTCTTTGGATTGGGGTGTTGACCGTGGAGGGGGCTGGAAAGTTTCCACACTTCTCAGCAAAATGGGCTGCGTTTGCCTCGTGTTACCTGGTGACCAGATCAGTGGCCCTTAGCAACTGTCAGTGGTGAGTAAGCATCAGAATCACCTGGAGGGCTTGTTAAACTTCAGCCTTCTACCTTCCACCTCCACCCCTAGATGGGTGATTTATCTGATTTAAATGTGCTGGGGTGGGACCTGATCATTTGCATTTCTGATAGAGCCACCGCCCTGAGGCCACGGCCACCGCNAATGGAGCATGAGTCGGGGAGGGGGAGAGAGAGAGACAGACAGACACAGAATCCGAAGCAGGCTCCAGGCTCTGAGCTGTCTGCGCAGAGCCCGACGCAGGGCTTGAACTAGTGGCCCTTGAGATGACGTGAGCTAAAGTTGGCTGCTTACCAACAGCCAGCCAGGAGCCCTGACCCCTCCCACCCCCAATTTAAAGTGTTCTGGGGGCGCTTAAGTGGCTCAGTCGGTTAAGTGGCCAACTTCAGTTCAGGTCACCATCTCGAGGGTCAGAAGTTCAAGCCCCGCTTCAGGCTCTGTGCTGACAGCTCGGAGCTTGGAGCCTGCTTCAGATCCTGTGTCTCCCCCTCTCTCTCTGGCCCTCCCCAACTCCTGCTCCGTCTCTCTGTCTCTCTCAAAAATAAACAAAACATTAAAAAAAATAAATTAGGGGGGTCGGAGAGAACCTTTCAGAGGAAGTGACATTTAAGCTAAACGATAAGTAGGAGCCAGTCATGCAAAGCTGAGAGCAATCCAGGCAGAACTATATCCAGTGTGAGGTGAGTTGAGTGTGGTGTGTGTGCTCAGGAGACAAGCTGGTGTGGTGCCAGCCCAGTGTGTGAGGGCATGGGATGTGTGAGGGCGTGGGATGTGTGAGGTAGGGCCCAGTAGGACTTGTGTTATGGGTTGAATTATATCCCCCCGCCCCAATATTGAAATCCTAACTCCTGGTATCTGTGCACGTGGCCTTATTTGGAAATACAGTCTTTGCAGATGAAATCGTGTTCAGAGGAGGTCATGGGGGTGGGCCCTAATCCAAACTGACTGGTATCGTCCTGAGAAGACGAAACTGCAGACACACAAGAAGAACATCGTCTAAGAACAGAGGCAGAAAGTGGAGGACATAGCTGGGAAGGAACGCCAGAGACCGGCGGCCAGCTCCAGAAGCTAGGGAGGAAGCGACGAAGGATTCTCTCCTGGTCCCCTGGATCCTCTGGAGCGAGAGCTGCCCTTCTGACTCTGCAGTTTCAGACTCTGGCCTCCAGAACTGTGAGAGAATCCACTTCGTTGTTTTAAGCCACCCAGTTTGTGGCACGTGGTAAAGGCGGCCCCAAGAAACTAATGGATCTGGCAAGAATTTGAGATTTTTGTTGTGGTTGCTCTGGATGCCAAAGGAAACTTCTGGAGCTTTAAGCGTTTGTGTGGCATTATTTCACTGACACACGCAGAATGTCTGGGCGTGATCTCAGGAAGGACTGATACAGATAGGGAAGCCAGTTGGAGGCACAAGATGTTGGTGGCCAAAACCACGGTGGTGGCAGTGACCTTGGTGACAATGCACAGCTTCAGACTGTTTTGGAGGTAGACCAGTAAGACCTGCTGGGGGGCATTGGAAGTGGAGGATGAGGAAAAGCAAGGCTTCAAGGACACTTCTAGGGTTTTTGATGGTCTTTAAGGTTTACTTATATGCCAACTCTTGGGGCTTAAAAGATTTGGGAGTACCGTGTTTTTATGTCTGGAGATGCCGTTGTTAAACTGTTGAATTGCCTGGGATGAATGTGGGTGTATTAAAAATGTCACCTGCCTTGGCCCAGCTCTATTTAGAGCTGCACTCATGGGCAGTTCACTCCAGCTGCCGGTCACTAATGACTCATGTCGGTCTCCTCAATAAATATCTTCTCTTCTGACCCCCGAGTAAGACGGCAATGCAGTTTGTTGCTTTTTAAAAAATTATCATCACTCCCTCCAGTTTATGATGACTTTATCTGACATTGATTAATCATTGGCTAAGTTTACTGGAGGGTGGATTCGTTTCATTATTGCCTTGTGGGGAGATAAATGCAAGGCCTCTTTATGATGAACGTGAACTTAGATATTATTTTATTAAAAAAATTTTTTTTTCTTCAATTTTTTTTATTTCTTTCTGAGAGAGAGAGAGAGAGACAGCGTGAGCAGGAGAGGGGCAGAGAGAGAGGGAGACACAGACTCTGAAGCAGGCTCCAGGCTCCAAACTGTCAGCACAGAGCCCGACGCGGGGCTCGAACCCACGAACCGTGAGATCATGACCTGAACCGAACTCGGACGTTTAACCGACTGAGCCACCCAGGCGCCCCATGATTTTTTTTTTTTTAATGTTTATTTATTTCTAGGAGAGAGAGAGAGAGACAGCGTGAGCAGGGGAGGGTCAGAGAGAGAGAGAGTCACAGACTCTGAAACAGGCTCCAGGCTCTGAGCTGGCAGTCAGCACAGAGCCCGACGCGGGGCTCGAACCCACGAACCGCGAGATCATGACCAGAGCGAAAGTCGGATGCTTAACCGACTAAGCCACCCGCCAGGCGCCCCATGATTTTAAAAGAATCCCTAAAGGCAGCCGGCTCCTGGGGCTTCCTGAGTTAACTGTGATGTGATTCATAGTAGGGACATTCTTTGTTTGGAAACAGACGGTGTCCCCGACTGGTGTAGGCTCATTTGTGAAAAGAGAACACAGCCGGTAGCTTGGTTTGGGCTGCTGTAACAAAAGTAACCTAGGCTGGGTGGTTTCAACAACAAACACTTCTGGGAGTTCTGGAGGCCGGGAAGTCCCAAGATCAAGGTGGCAGCAGATCCAGTTTCTGGGAGACTTGCTTCCTGGTTTGTAGATAAAGTCTTCTCATCATGTCCTCACTTGCCAGAGGGCAGAGAGAGACAGAGGAAGCAATCTCTCTGGGGTCTCCCCTCAGAAGGGCGCCAGTCCCGTTCGTGAGGACTCTACTCTTAGGACCTCGTCTCCTCCCCCAAAGGCCCCACCTCTAGAAGCTATCACAATGGGGATTAGGTCTCAACGTGAATTGTGGAGGGGACACGAACATTCAGTCTGTAGCACGGATGTCCTCTGGTCCCATACA